ATGAAATTTTCCCACTTAACAAAAATGACAACATTTATATAGCTTGGAAATAGATAAACGAACGAGAAAGTGACTGAGGAATAAAAACAAACAGGAGGTGGATAGTGTAAGGGCAGCCATACGAGACAAGGCAAGGGGCAAAGCTTAGAGCTAACCGCACCTCAGCTACAGAGCTCAGAGTTTACCGCACCTCAGCACTTCGCCGTGGGTGTATGACAGCCACAATAGGCACGCCCTCATCTGATCATTTGTCCGTATCAGAACACCCCTTCTCAAGGAACCTGCTCTGCCAGAACGCACCACGCGCATTTAATGCGGTTGCTCCGTTAAGGCACATTACACTCACCTAAAATGTCTACTCCGTCAGGCGCACCATGTCACCATTATTAGATTGACTAGGCCACGTGGGTGTGGACAAGCCACGTGGGTGCCTTGCCAAGCGGGACAAAGCCCACAAGGTAAGACTCGATAAATAGGCAGAATAAAAGGAGGAAGGATGATCAGAAAAATACTGACTTAAGCATCGGAGTTTCTCCCCGAGGACCAACCTCGGGATTTTGCAGGACCATTTGGAGAAGGATCAACTCGAAGCAGGAATTCAAGGATATTCAGCAACTACATTGGCGCCGTCTGTGGGAACCTGAACAAAAGCCATCACCAGAAGTTAAGATGGTACACACACGAGCAACCCAGCGCGAGAGTCCTCCCCAAGGCCAACAAAGAGGCTAGCCCCCAAGTGTCAACCCCGTGTCACAGAATGCACCAATTGTAACCGCCCAACATCAGCAGGTGGAGGGAGTTGGGGAACATAATCCACAATATCCCAACACCGTGGCAAACGACCCTGTAACTGCTCAACTCAATGCCATGCAACAACAATTCGGGGTCTTCCAACTCGTGCTTGCTCAGTTGCTGGCTAGAGATAACCCCGCTGACCCACTTATCCACTTACTAAACCCAGCTCCCTCTATGGCCCCCCAACCAGCTCAACAGCCTGCCAACTCCCCAGTCCGTAGTGTCGCCCCGACTGCTTCCCAAGCACAATCTCACATACCACCCCAGCCCCAAAACCCGCCCCAGCCAGCTGCCTCCGACGTCTCAAAGAGGCTAGACAACATAGAAAAGTTGTTAGCCGAAAACAAAAACCTACAACCACAGACCCCACCTATATCAACCTCCATCCCCACTCCTCTCAATACCAAAATTACCCAAGAGCCATATCTACCCGGTTTCAGGATGCCGCAGTTTGAAACGTATGATGGCACCAAAGATCCCGACGACCACCTACATGCATTTTTCTCCGTCATGCAGGCTCAAAACACCTCAGACGCACTCATGTGCAAGATGTTTCCCTCCACATTGCGCGGCAATGCCCGGACCTGGTATCACACCTTGCGCCTGAACTCAATTAATGCATATGCCGAGCTGGCCACCCTCTTTGCCACCAAATTCTCGAGCAGAAGGTTGATCAAAAAGACGACACCCGAGCTCATGCGCATAACACAAAAAGAAGGCGAATCCTTGAAGAACTACATGAACAGGTTCAATGACGCCATGCTAGAGGTCAATGCCTTCGATGAAGCAGTGGGAGTAACTGCCGTGATACAAGGCCTCAACCATGATCGGTTTCGAGATAACTTGATCAAGAACACCCCAACCACTTTTGACGAAGTCAATCAGAGATCCCTCAAATTCATTAAAGCCGAAGAGTACGTCCTTTCCAAGCCCCAGCCCCCCAAAGAAGCTAGAACTCCCACTTGGAGAGAAGAAGGGCAGAGCAAGAAAAAGTTCAAACCCACACAGAACCGAGACCCAATTCTGGTTCCCAAGCTAGACAGGCCCAGCTCCAGCGCCCTACAAACGCGGCCTAGGCCACCTTCATGGACCTCCTTCACAGTTCCGAGATCGCAAATTCTTATGCAAATAAAGAATAAGATGGAGCTGAGGAGACCAGCCCCCCTATAGAGCCCAGCAGCAAGCAGAGACCACACCAGATACTGTGACTTTCATCAAGATCACGGACATACCACGGAAGATTGCAAAAGTTTGAAGTCCGAGCTGGAAAGTTTGGCCCGAAAAGGAATGTTGAATGAATACATCCAGAACAGAAGTTTGCAAAAGTTTGTCAAAGAACAGGGGCAACCCTAGGGGTCCCGAGCAGCAAACAACAGAAATGGAGTAGGATACCAGCAAGCACCACCACCTCTCCCACCCCAATCCAGAATTATTCACATGATAACAGGCGGACCCGAAGCAGGTGGCACAAGCGCCAAACAGCAAAAGTTGTACGTGAGGGAGGTCAAACACCATAATGCAGACCATGCAGCCCAGAAAAGAAAGATCGACGAGGAGGATTGGAAAAACCAATCTGTGACATTCACTTCGGCCGACCTCGAGGGGGTCGTCATGCCCCACAACGATCCATTAGTCACCTCGGTCATCATTAACAACTGCGAGGTCCAGCGTGCGCTCATTGACACCGGCAGTGCTCCAGACATAATGTATTATCATTGCTTTGAGAGCCTCGGACTCGACCCTACCCTCCTGCAAAAGTATGATGGGCCCATCTACGGCTTCAATAACCAGCCGGTACCCGTGGAAGGAGTACTACGGCTCAACGTGGCGTTTGGCTCCGGACGGACGTATGTAACTCCCCCAGTCCGATTCCTGGTAGTGAAGATGGCCTCATCTTTCAATCTCGTCATCGGAAGGCCGACTTTGATCGAGATTCGAGCTGTAGTGTCCCAGTCCCACCTCTGCATG